CTTTTCTCAAGTGATGTTTTCCCATTAATATAGCAAGTTATACAGTATGAACATAACACAAACCCTAATACACAAGGTTTAATAGGGTTGACCGGCTTGACCTGATGACTTGACTTGACTCAAGATTGACGATTGTCACAGATTTGGGGAGTTCTATAAAAGATTAGTTTATATCATTGAAAGATATATTCAATTACATAAAAATTACAAATAAAACTAAATATCCACAAACAAGTTATGTGAATTTGGAGGGTGAACTCGACTTTCAACAAATCAAGTTGGCTAATTAGAACTATCACATTCATAGAAATTAAATAGTAAATAGAGATGAAATTAATATGCTAAAATGTATAAAAATTAAAATGAAAGTTGAATGCTACAACGGATTGTATTTCTTAATAAAAATGTATAAGACACATCATACTTCTATCAAAATATGGGTAGGTGTCTACACAAATCGTATGCCTATCTCCCTAATTATATTCGACCATCATTGCTTATAGATCATTTGGTGTTTAATACTTTCTTAAAGGGATTAAACCCTAAATTGAATAGACCCCTTCTCTCGATTGGAATTTCTTCTTCTTGTAACTCTTCTATGATTCTCAGTTATTTTTAAATCCATCTGCAAACCCTGCACTTTCAAATCGCACTACATGATTGCTGTCACCATCACCCAGCCACTACCCGAGCAATTGGCAAACATGGCAACAACGTTTGAGCATTACTGCATTGAGGTTTGCATTGATCAAAACGAAATTAATATTCTCGTTTTAACATGAATTGGGAATCGTTTCAAGTTGTTATGTAGATATGGGAAAAAGGAATTAATGTTGTTTGATTATGTTACTATCTACACACCAGTAATGCAAATCATATGATAAGTCTTATTTTTCAAAGCAATGTCAATGTAACGGCCCAATTTTCAAAAGAAATTTTCATTTTTATTAACCGAAATACTTTCCACAAACCATGAAATCCAAAATACAATTGTTTTCAAAATTCATAACAAATACAATTTTATTTCAAATCATCAGAGTGTCCCATAAAAACGCCTGAGAGAGAGAGAGAGAGAGAGTGCACTTCGCGTCATTAAGCCTTGCCCTTGGGTTCAGATGTACCTGAAAGAAATCCATAAACTGTAAGTTAATGCTAAGCGAGTCCCCCAGAGCATACCCCACACACAATTCACATAATACATATCATATAACCTATAAAAGCTACATATATCATATAAGCTATACATATGATGTTGGGTTTTTGATACTACAACATCTATGGTGCACATATAACCCTAAATATCTTGGATCTATGTTTTCACTAATATACATGCAAGGATATTTCCAAGGTATTAAGCTTATAACTAGCATGCAATTGTCACATATCATACAAGATACTAATTAGGGTAACATACCTTTTGTGTAGCTTGAAGTCTTGATGTATTTGGCCTTAAAAGCTTAGCCCTGATAGTGTGAAAGCCTCAAATGAAGTCACAACACATCATGAACAAAGGTGGAACTTGAGAGAGAATTCCTTCCACACCAAAACACCTCCGTGAACTCCAAGTACAAGTCTAGGTGTTTTTGGCTATGAATGGATATATTTATATGTAGGATTCCAAGAGTCATGGGTATAACCCAAATCCATACCCATGGGTGTTATGATAAATTGTTCATGTGGCCCAACTCTTTATGTATCCATACATAAACTTGGTCCAATCATGGATCATAAGCCCAACACATACAAATATAACTAATTACCATAATTAGTCCCCATATATTTAAATTAGTCTCTTTTGATCACTAAATTAATTCCAAATTAATTCTTGATCAATACTAATTAAAACATATGATTTCATATTAATATATTATAACTTATAATATATTAATAAATCATATATATAACCTTCTCTCAAGAATCCATCATAACAAATTATCCTGATGATATGCAACCTAAATGGACCATACTACTCACGGGTCAAGTACATACCAATAATAGTTATGGGCTTAGATATCTAATCCAACATATAACATATAAGGAAGCCATGGAAACCCTCTAGGGTCTTACACCTAGTGCAACTGGAACCCCTACGTGGTCTTACCACCTACCATGAGAACCCCCACATGGTCTTCTTACCAAGCAAATATCATACAAACTAATCATGCAAATATAGTAGGATGCCATGGAAACCCTCCAAGGTCTTATACAAAATGCCATGGGAACCCCCACGTGGTCTTAATCTACTGCCATGGGAACCCCCTGGGGTCTTCCATGCAAATGTCATACTAACATAATGCATAATCAATCGACAATCCGCATATCATAAAATGGTCCAACCTTGGTGCCTTAGACCAATTGGTATGGTGAGAAGACTCACCTCTCGAATACTGAACTGACAAGCTAAGATCAGATATATCCCAAGCACTGCTCCTCCTCAACTGTCTAAAATCAACATGTGATTAACTTGTCACAATCCCATAAATATCCTCAAAGTTAACCCTAGTCAATCCTGGTCAAACTCAAGGTCAACAGTCAATGTTGACCTCAACTCGTCGAGTTCCTCCCGAGTCCATTCCACCGAATCCCATGTCAACTCGCCGAGTCACTACAGTGACTCGTCGAGTTCATCAAATGTCCAGAAAACTAACAGTTCATGCAATCCCAAAACCCTAATCCTTCACTGCACTCATTCCGAATCTCGAAAACGGGTAAACCCCACCCAACTCATCAAGTCAACTAAGGGACTCGACGAGTTCCTTCAGTCGCTCTTATGTTTAGTCATTTTCAGTGGGATCTAAGGTCCCAAACTTTAGATCCAACTTCCCCTAGTGCATTTACCATGTAAAGTTGCAAACTTTACGTGCATGTAAGGCCTAACAAGGCTAAAACATTAAAACTAATCTTCCTACAAGGTTTTAGTGCATGGAAAGGGCCTAAGTTGGATAAAGGGAGTAACTTTATGCCATTGGAGACCTAGAGAGGTCCAGATCTAGAGCCACCTCCTTGTGATAAGTCCAACTCCGAGTATGACTCCATTTTGAACCAAAAATGGTTATTTACTCCAAGGAAAGGGGATCTAAGAAACTAAGGATCAAGGTAATGACTTTATACCTCCAGATGGTTGCCAATACAAAGTAGATGTGGGATCTACTGCTTCTCTCCTTGCTCCTTCTTCAAACTCCAAAATCCTTCACAACCACACTAAAACTACTCACAAAGGCTCTCTCTCTCTCTCTCTCTATCTCTCTCACACACACACACATACACTCAAGGAGGTGTAAGGTTCAACTAGGGTTTTCTCTGTTTGATGAAGTGGTAAGGAGGCCACAAGAGGTAGGTTATGTCCTTTAAATAGGGTGCAAACCCTAAAAATTAGGGTTTTCCTTTACAACGCCTACCCGTCGAGTCGGGGCCTTCCGACTTGTCGAGTAAGATTTAAAATCCGCGTCCATATAATGACTTCTACTCGACGAGTTGGGGCTCCCCAACTCGCCGAGTTCATGCACAAAACCCTAGAATTGATAAATTAAATAATACCTGGAACAAGTGTTATAGTCAAGCAAAAGTTTCTCATGTTCATTTTAGGTAAAAGTATGCTGCCAGAATTATGGTATTATGTATGTACTTGTAATGTACAAAATATTCTTCATATGTATCTTTGTGATGTTTTCTCATTAGTTCTATGTGTTACATGCCATTGTAGAGTAGGATAAAAGAAGAGATGTACAAACATTGAAGGTAATATTATACAACGAATTTTCTCCGTACACAACAATTATGTTTTATAAATTTGTATAATACAATATTTTAAAGCACAAGATGTTGTGTATAGAGAAAAATCTTGTGCACGAATCAGCTCCCAATACTTATACTCCAATATTTTTGTAAAACCTTTTTACTGAATTCGTTGTTGTTTTAGTTCTTATTATTATCATCATGGTAAGAAAAGTAGTTCCTTTTAGTGAAACATATAAACTAACTTGATTTTGGTATAAAGCCTCTCTTGTAGATGGCATACAAATTGATAAACTAACTTGATTTTGGTATAAAATCTCTCTTGTAGATGCACACACACACACACACCCAAAAAAAAAAAAACACAACACAACACAACCATTCTCGTATGATAAACTAACTTGATTTTGGTATAAAGTCTCTCTTGTAGATGGCGTACAAATTGATAAACTAACTTGATTTTGGTATAAAATCTCTCTTGTAGATTCACACACACACACACACACACACACACACAAAAAAAAAAAAAAAAAAAAAAAAAAAAAAAAAACCATTCTCGTAGATGGCGTACAAATTGAAGATGTGATAGAATATTATTATGTATGAATTGGAATGGAACATAAAACAAATAAATTTTAAATGGAGATTGAAGTGTATACTTGGTATGTAATCCTGATTTTATGGGATTCGTTAAAATCATTAATGATTTAAATGGATCTTGATATTGTTACCAAAAAACTGGATTTTGAAATTTTAGAATGAATATTTCGAGATTTTGTAATTAATTTGTTGTAAATAAATATTTTATTTATAATAGGAGCTCAAAAAGATTGATACATTATAAATACTGATCCACATTAGGCTGTGACATGGCATCCTAAAACTATTCTTCTATTACGCAGAATGAAGGTAGATATGTGAATTTGTACATAAAACTAAAATTATCTTGAGGTACATTTTTATTTTTTACAAACAAATTGTTATGGGTTTTATTTGTAGACTTTAGAATATGTTGTTTTTATGTATACTTCAAGAATACATAGTTAAAATTAAAAGATAGAAGGTAGATAGAACTGCCAAGTATAGCCAGTAACATATAAGTGCATATATCATATCATGTAACACTAAAAAAAACAGGAAACAGAAATAGATTTACCATATCATATCATACCAAGCTAAAAATAACAAAACCAAAACCAAAACCAGTTCCAAATAAAAACATCAGCATCACCACGTTTCTTTTGGTTTGGGTCTCTATCTATAACCACAATTTATAAAAAAAAAAAAAAAAAAAAAACGAAAGAAAAAACAGTTTTACCATTAACTATGTAAACGATCTAATATCCATCAAAGCCTTGTTTATTAAGATGCTTATTTTGAGATTGAATCATCAACTGCTCAGAACTTGCAGAAGCCCTCATCTGCTGCTGCATATTTCCACCAAATTGGTTTCTTGGAATTGTTGATTCTTTAGAATTATTATTATTATTATTATTATTCATATTTGTTTCAGAACATGAGTTCTCCATCAGCCCTTGTATCTGGAGTCAAATAGTCAGCAATAATCACTTTATTATCATAATAAATCAATTAATCAGAAACAGATAATATATAATAGATACTGCTCTCACCATATCCAGACGCTTCTTGTGTAAATCACTTGGTGGCTGCATTTTAGTTTCAAACAATCAATTACATTTTAATTTTAATTTTCTACACACAAAAAAAAAAAGTCAACTTACATTGTCTTTTTTTTGCTTCTTCTCTTCACTTGAGAACCCAGGAATTGTCAACTTGTAGTTCTTTTCTGTACACAATACAAAACAACAAAAATGTTGAAAATCCTAGGTTATTCTCAGAAAAGTAGTGTGTATTTTGACCCTTTTTAAACCAAAAAAGTCACAGGAATATTTTTTTGACAATAACTGATATTTCTTAATTTTGTAAATGAAAAAAATTAGCACCTAGGTGTAGCAACACATCTTTTGATTCTACAATTGAAGAGTTGCGGTGCTTGGCCAAGATGGCTCCAAATGAAGTAACCTAAAAAATTAAAAAAAATCAGGAAAATTAAATATATCTTATCTACACATTTAAATTTAAAATTTTAAAAATTTAACAAGTCTCACTCACCGAATCAATAAATTCATCAGCAAGCATCAAAAGCATTTCTTCAAGTTCAGGGTCCAAAACTATACTTGGATCAATCTGAACACCAAAACACACAAAACCATTATTAAATATAAACAATAAATTTCACACCAAATTGCACACACACACACACACTACCTGTGCAACCAAATCTCGAATTTTCCTTTTACCAAGAAGATGGTTGCTAGCTTCTGTCCCCTGGCTTGAACTTCCGCCAGGTGTCGTCGTCCCAGAAGCTGTTGCATCGGGTTGCGACCCGGTCAAACTTAAAGACTTTTGACCCGCGGATCCTCCGATTCTCGGTGACTGTTGCTGCAAAAGTTGTTGTGGATTCTGTTGGTGTCCAATTGGTTGCTGTTGTTGATTCTGATGTTGTTGTTGTTGTTGTTGTTGAACCATTTGTGAGATTTGTTGCTGATTTAAGGACATGGAATTGTGCATTTGAGAAGAAGGAAGCTGTTGTTGTTGCTGCTGCTGTTGTTGTTGTTGTTGTCCCAAAAGTGCTGCTTGTTGTTGTTGTTGTCTTTGTTGTTGTTGAAGGCGATATGAAGGAGAATTAGGTGCTGACATGGCAGGCATTTGTTTTGACCATTGTTGTTGTGTGAGGTTGTTCTGCATCATGGCTAATTGACCATTTTGACTTAATGCTGATAGCTGTGGGTTCATAAATGGGGTCCGTGATAAGCCCTGTGCCTGCAATTTCTAGAATAAATCAATGAAATTAGCAAAGATGAAAGGGAAAAGCTTGTGCTTAATATATATATATATATATATATATATATATATATATATATATATATATATATAGATTTCCGTGTTCAATTTGTAGAAAAATCAGTGAAATAAATTCAATTTTCAACCAAAGTTTCTTGTTTTGACGTCATGAGGTGGGATCACCACCTAGTGTATAATTAGAATAAAAAATCGGCAACTTTTTTTTATTTTCAAACTGTGTCAAATAAATAGAAAATCTAAAAATAGAATACAAAAAAGAAAAAGGACTTTTCCGAGGATGTGTGATATATGAACACAAGGATTTGCAAATTTTACAAAAAGATATGGTGAGGTTAAGAGATAGGCACGCATTAAGTCTAGAAAACCAATAAGAGAAACAAATTGAATTTCATATTGTGTAGTTTATATCCTAAAAGGAAACGGTGTAAAGATCAAAATTAACAGATTGGAAAATATATTGACAATCGATTGCTTAATAACATCAACAACCTTAAAACACTAGAAAGTCAAAATGTATTCATTTGGTGATAAACTCATTTTTCCTGTTTAAATGATGATGAATCCAAGATGAAGCAAATTACTGAGGTTGTTTGGGATATATATATATATATATATATATATATATATTGTTGAAAAGGAAAAGAAAAGTGGAGTTGTAAGCCCAAATACAAACAATCAATCTGATGACAGCAACTATAAATGATCCACAACTTATCTTTTTCTTGACATGTGGTATATCAAAGCTGTAGATATGTCTAAAGGCTGTAGACATGTGTTTAATTCTTGTATAAAGGAAGTTGTTATCATACTAAATCTTACAGAAAGAAATAGTAGGCACTAATGTATAATATTTTTGTTTATGGAAACATCACTTGACATCCAGATATACTTGAGAAACCATCGAAAAAATTGATAATATAATGTACTTGCGTGCATATTACTACACCTAATATGTGAAAAACTGTTAGGGTTCTATTGGACATAAAAGTAAGAAGCATGAAAACATCTGTCATATTCTGTGAATACAACTATTAGCAAGCATGGTCTTCACTTGCTAAAAAGCCATATAGAACAAAAGATTGGTAGCTTATGTGAAGCAAGGAGAATTATCACAAGTACCCATTTGCACAATGTTCACAAAGGCCTGACAATTACATGTGTGACTTTAAAAATATAAATCTAATAGTATTTCATGCAGCTTAAGTTAACATTGACAAAGAATCAAGTTATTGAGATAATATGTTTACCTGACTAGATGCTAGTGCATTTTGTTGGGCCAATTGTGGTCTCATCTGCCCCTGGTTTATCCTTTGTTGAGAGAAAGCAAGAGAACCATTTGCCCTAATTTGAGAATTCAAATTGTAGGGGCTGATCATGTTCATCCCCATTTGCATTCCTTGCAGTGATTGCCCTGGTGTATTTCCTGGATGAAACTGAGACCCTTGAACTAACCCGGTTTTCTGCCTAGGCTGCAAACACAATGACACAACAGATCAGACACAACATTGATCAAAGAAAGTAACCCTTTGTTTTCTATTGAATCAGACCTACTAACACTGATGGAAAGTAGCCTTTATTACTTTTGCTCAAAAGGGCCTCAAATCGTACAATTACGCTACAAATTGAGAAGTGAGAACGATTACCGATGCTGACAATTGGGATTGTAGATTAAGCTGCGCAGCAGCGGCAGCTTGACCGGGCAACATTGTCATGTGACCGGTTTGGCCCATCAAGCCTGAGCGGGTTAGGGTAGCGTTTCCTATCTGACCAATTTGTTGATTTTGTTGCTGTTGCGGCATCTGCTGCTGCCCACTAGCAAAATTCATCTGTCCATAGATTCTGGCAGCATTATTCGCACTCATATTGTACTGTTGTTGTTGTTGTTGTTGCTGCTGTTGCAAGTGATTCAAACGCGATATAGATGGAGACCTCTGTAAACCTTGTTGATGAATTTGGAAATTGGCTGTCCCCATCAAATTACTTTGCTGTTGCTGTTGTTGAAGCAATTGTTGTTGCTGCTGCTGTTGCGATAGAACGTTGGATGAATTAACTTGTGGCGCTTGTTGTTGTTGCTGGGATGGCAATGATGGGGTTGACATGATTTGACCAATGGTGTTGTCGATTGAAGAAGGGAGGTTTTGAGAAATCGATTGTTGCTGCTGTTGCTGTTGTTGTTGATCCATGGATGTGGTGGCGTTGGTGATGGTTGATTGAATTGGGGACGACGATGACCCGTCCGCCATCATCAAAATTGAGAAAAATAGAATGAGATTGAATGATTAAATCATATGGGAAGGGAGATAATTGGTGTATCAGAAAGTATGAACAAAGTGGCAGTAACAAGGAAACTCGATCGAGAGGGAATTTGGAATGAAGGTTACTCGGTAAGAGACGAGAATGGGTCCGCTCAATTTATATAAAACTATTAGCCGATAAATCACTACAATATTTCTTCCAAAAATCATAAATAAACCCTAATTTGAGGATAATAAGAATTGGCAAATTGTATTAGGTTTTAATGTTTTATGATGACTTTTGAGATTGCAACTATATTATTTTGACATCAACATAAACTCTTTTTTGGTGAAAAATAACTGCCACTTGTTTAAAAATAACGGTTTTTGACATGTTATTATCTATTTCTTGATCAAAGTGTTAATGTAGAATTTTCAAAAAAAAAAAAAAAAAAAAAAGATTAAATGGCTTGATTGCCATTTACATTCAAAATCAATTAACATTAGACAATTACAAGGGTTTCTCGAAAAAGAGTTCACATAATATCTTCTTTCTGGTAAATGATAAAGTTCAAGTTCGATTCATGTAAGTTTGATTTTGTAACCTTCTTTGTGATCTTAACCATAATGTTTGCATTGTAGTTTGTTGTGTTTTTGAGTTTGCTACGAATGTTATGGCTTTTGTATATTTATATACTACCGTTTTTAAAAACATGATAAATAATAACTTCTTAATACTAAGTTAAATGAATAAAATAAAAGAGAATCTTTCGATTTAGATATTAAGGTTGAGTTAGTATTGAAAAGTGGAAAACAATCATTTATTGAACCTTTTATGTGAATATATATATATATATATATATATATATATATATATATATATATATATATATATATAACACAACATTTTTTTGGTGTAAGGACAATATTAGATTAAAACACTAGTAAGAAGCTAACAAAAAATAGATTAAAAGTAGCAAAAAGTAAAGAAATGTTATACCAACTAATGCATTTCAATTTATGTTTTTACATCTATTACAAATCCAAAAATAGAAATGACTTTGAGAGAATATGAGGTTGATGATAAGGTAATACAAAATATACGATGATAACTTTAAACCTAATGACAAATAACATAATGATTAAGACATCTTTTCACATGTAGAGCACATAGTATACAAGCCTTAAACATATTTGTTTTGTCACACATACAAAAATTATTATTTTATTAACCATTCGTGGAAGTTTTAGTTAAAACACTAAAATGACAATGAACCAAAAAAAAATTGGCACGTCAATTACACATCAAAAGATTGCATTCTTCCTTACAATTTTCAAGATCGAACACTCACCTCACTTTCATCTATAAAAATGTACTTACATATCTCATATTATGTCTTGTTTAGGCTAAGACCATTCAAGATCATCTTATTGTAAGTGTTTGAGCTTAGTGTGAGCAATTCTTCAGTATCCACTTAAGATAGTGTTTAGAAGTCAAGTTAGCAAGATGTGTGCATACGGTTTTCATATTTATATTTAAAATCTCATTTACTGTAAATTGCTTATCTCAAGCGATTTAGTGTTTTAACAACTATTACTATTAACATTTGTTGGTGATTTTAATGTTATTAATATAATTTGGTGTAATTATTATTAATAATGAAATAGGTCGAGTTCACTTTACTAATCGAGATAGGAGGTGCGGTATGCACACTCGGTGTGTTAAATGTGAACTTGGAAATACGGGAGTCCGGCGGCGATGTCCAAGGGTGCAAAGTTCCAAGGGGCTGAAAACCCTTGGTGGGGTCTAGGGATGAGTTGTTTGTACCAATTCCTGATCCTGTATCGGTAGCGTACCGAAACCGGTACCGAACCGTACTGTACCGAATTTTAAAATATAAGATTGTACTATGTACTCCAAATTCACGAAATTCGGGATTCAGTAGCACCGGTACCGTTGATGTTAATTCGGATCGGTATTCAAGATTGACTTTTGATTAAATTCGATTTTCGGGAAATCGGGAACGGTACGGGTCGGTACCGGTTTTGTCCAACGCTCATCCTTAGCAAGGTCTAGGGGCAGCACCTCTTGCGGGGTCCAAGGAGCAGAGCCCCTGGCAGCGCCCCGAAACCTAAACGGATTTTGCTTCGAGTGCGACTCCAATCATAACAAACTTTCCTCTTTTTCGGGCAGTCCCTCGACATGTGTCCCTCCTCACCACAACCATAACAAACTTTCTTAGTGAGGGTGCATTCATTGACATAGTGGTTTTCCACATTTAAAACATGTGACCACCACCTCACATTTTCCATGATGCTTCTTCTTATATTTTTCGCACCATTTCGCTTTCCCTCCTCCTCCTCCTCTCGAACTAGACTTCGAGAACTTGTTTATCTTGTTGGACCCTACAGGTCCATCAAATTTTCTCTTTTCACCAACCTTTATCCTTTCCAGACCCTTTTCCTTCTGTTGGGTCTCCACATTCTTAGCTGCTCGAACAGCTGTTTTCAGAGTGGTTGCCATCTTAACTGTCGGGCCAAAGTCAGCAGGCAGTTCATTAGCGAACCTCTCAATCTTGGAGAGTTCTGTTGGCACTAGGTACAAAAATAACTTCATTTTCTCAGTGAATACAGTAGCATAGTCATCTATGCTCATCCTCCCCTTCTTCAAGTTTTGTAACTCATTATTCAGATCAATCAGATCTATCTCTGAACAATACTACACCCTTAACTGCTCCAAGAACTCCTCCCATGACATTTTCAGGGCTTCTCCTCGTGGCATAGTATCTGCCAACAACTTCCACCAACTCAAGACTCCAGTCTTCAGTTGTCTAACTACAAAGACAGACTTCTGTTTGTTGCTACAGTCACAACTTTCAAATCCCATCTCCATTTCGTAGATCCAATCCATAATCTCAACAGGCTTCAGGCTCCCAGAAAGACTTGGCGGCTTGGCGCCCAAGAAATTCTTGTACATTCTCCCATTCTTGTTGTTTCTTCTTTCCAGGTCGTTCCTTAGTTCTCCTTGAGTCCCAACTTGACTCATAATGTGATTATTGTTCCCTTCCTCCGATTGCTCGGGAATCAATTTAGGTTCCTCGCTGAGTATGATAGGTTCGTTCCTATTATCATGCCACATCTGTTGCATTTCATCCCTTTGTTCAGCTAACATAGCCCGAATCATGGCTTGCACCCCAGCCATTGCTATTGGTTCTGGTGCTGCTGCTACAACAGGTATTTGCTCAATCACTGGCGGTTGATTCCTGTTTTCATCCGCGTTTCCAATGTCACTCCTTGTTCTCACCATTTAATTTATCTACACACCAAATAAGGTGAAATTAGATCCTCATCCACGATAGATATTCAAATCATCCTTATTACTCCGAAACGTTTACATGCTAGTTCTAATACCATAGACATACGCTTAGAATCCTAAACACATAAGGTTTCCAGATCCGGTCGGCAACAGACCATAGATCCGAACAAATAATATCATATATGGTAACATATAGCATTTAGCACATAAAAGCATTTTAGGCAAATTTCCTAAAATGAACTAGTGCTCGTGTCTGAAATATAACAGACACACATCTAACAACCTTCACTTAGCATTCTAAGTTTATGACTAAAAATCCTACAAATTCCTAGATCGCTTAAACTAATGCTCTAATACCAACTATGACATCCACAAAATCTCGGTCAGAAAATACCGATTTCATTTATGCTTTTAAAAATAATTTCAGAGTAAATCCTTTTGATTTAAAAGAGTTGCGGAATTTGTTCCCAAAAACAAAATATGATAAGATAATATTTATCAAAGCATTTCATCAAGAGATGCATTTTCATTGTATAATCAAAACCCGGGATGTCATGTTCCGATACAGACCATAAAGCATAAACGATACCATTACAAGTCATTCAACAAATATATACATATATAGAATTGTAAACAAAACAACTTGATGATTCATCCATCTTATACCCTTGCGTCACTTCCTGTAATACAAATAAACTGAGTGGGTCAGGCTTGGGAGCCTGGTAAGCATATAGGGTTTTCAACCCACAATAAATAATTATATTTAATTTCACCAACCAACAATAATCCGATTACCCATTCCTGTTATCCTCACTTTATGTCCCTAAAACAACATCTATCTCAAGGGACCTAATCTAGGATTTTCATCGGGACAGACATTACTGCTAAGGAGTTTCCTCAACAATAGATATCCTAAAGGCAACCATGAGGGGGATAGAGTACACCGGTGAACACATCGTTCACAACAACTACATGTTATCAACCTGCTAGTGTTCCACAAGACTGTCTAGAAAAAGAGTTTGTGGTCGTTATCCATACTCCGTTGAATAACTAGATTAACAACAACGACATCGAGGCCTCTCATCTGCTTATCATACATCAACTATCTACCCATGTTCTACCCAACATATTAGTAGATCAAAATATATTTTTTTATACATAGTTTAAAACCTGTATAACATGTTCAATCAATACATATTCCACATAACAGATGAGGCACACACAAACAACTTGAATTTCATAAAGAATAAATCAGACTATGAGATAGAATAAAATGAATATACAATTCACACATATAATCAACAAATATACACATAACACGTATTTCGTATAAAATACTTCATAATTATGCGTTAGAAGAAGGTAACTACACACTCACTTGATCAGAAGATGATCGAACAACACTACGACTTGTAGAAGTAGTATTCTTCGGTAGATCTGGAAGATCTTCACAAAAACCGGGCTTCTAGTGGGCAGAGCTTCGGCTCGGGATTGATACTGGGGCTTCGGGATACTTTTGGCACGCAAAACGATGCAAACGGGAGAAAGAGAAGAGAAATTGGCAAAAGAAGCCGACTGCCCTTGCATGCCTTTTATAGAGGTTGAGGCCTTGCATTACGCTGGGCGTAATGCTCTACGCGGGGCGTACGCCTCAGAAAATGTCATTGCTTACGTCTCCGGAGTACTCGAGTGC